CAATTTTCTGCTATGTTATGTTCATGAGAGAGGCAAGACCTGAGTCACCTGTAAAAGATCACCAAGGTACACATTGTCACAGAAAAAAAAAAGTATTCTGGTGATGCTGCTATGATTTGACATTTAGGAGTCTCTTTCTGTGCTTGTTTCTTTTCTCTTACTTTCCAGTGACTCTAAACAATTTGCCCCTTGACAAGTCTTTTTTTCCTCTGCAGGTTAGACTTTCTCTAAAGTAAAGCAGCTTCAAATAAATATTAATGTTGGGTTTTCCCTACCATCTAGCACATCAGCAGTTCAAACGGGATGAGTGAAAAAGTGAATCAATAGTTAATACATATGAGTTTAATGCAAATCCATGATATGTATAGAAAGACTGTCAGGGAATTGCAAATTCCTGCATGCAAAGAGCTAAAAGAAGGAGAAAACTTGAATTCTGCTGCATATGAAAAGATGTTCAATTTTTTTTTCCCTTGTTCTATATAAAATGCAAACTATATTATTTGAAATGTCTCGTAAAAAGTGCAACAGTCAAAACAGTCAACAGCCAATTTGGATTAACTTATGCATTTGAACCCAATTCTCCTACATTCAAACTGAATCCTCAGCCTATACGCTTTATAACCTTCTCCAAATTCCAGCTTCCATCTTTCCAACATTAGGTATGTTCCTGCTCCCCTATTTGCACTCTTACAACAGGTACTGCACTTTCCTTATATAACTACTATATTGTTACCACTGTATTGAATCTGGGGGTACTGCATCACAGGTTGCAATAAGTGAGCAGAATGAAGACAGAGAATCTATAATGCATGACTAAAGTCAACTTACACTCTTTCCCACAGTCACTGTTCTGCTCAGTGTATGCACTTCTGATCTGAAATCCTCTCTCTAGGGGAATGGAAATTTGAAACCATAACTTCCTTTTATTTCAATCACTGCCTTTCTTGGAAATGTATTTTAATATAAGAAGTTTAACTATTTTAACACACTTTACTTTCTAACACAAGGCTGCTCACGAACTGTAGACATATTTATTTCCTCTTTGATTGAGCTCCCATTTTTGTGTTTTGAAACAACTAGAACAGCTACTAGCTGTTCATCAGGTCAGTATAAATCTGTTTCACTTTGCCTGTCTGCTTTTCTGCTCCTGTACTCCATACCATTCTGTGTAACATTACGGTAGCTGCTACGTACTGGACTTAAAATTTCCTAATACCTCTGGAACTTTTTTCCCACTTTAAAAAATTTAAGGAAAAATGTTCCTAATCCATTATTTTTATCAATAAAAATATTAATATTTAGAAAGGTTTTGAAACACTACACTACCCACATAATAAGTAAAGACTGAAAAGTATGGCTGATCTGAAGCCATCACAAGCATGCTCATTGTCCTCGGTGTGTATCAGATCAAGTCTTACATGACTGGCAATGTTTCAGCAGTACTGAAGCTTAAAATTTATTACCTTTCAAGGAAAGTGACTTCAATCATTTACTTTGATGCATTTCAAGGCCAACCATAAAAGCTTAAGAAGGACTGAGAAACCAAACGCATTTTCTACCAGAACACCCCTGTGCTGCAACAAATATGATTTTCAGCACACCAAAGAATCTAAATGTTAGATATTACCAAATGCTACACAGAACTGAAGTCCTTCATTCCTCCTTCTATTAAACAATAATGAGAGTTAAGACTCCAGTTGACAGCATCTGTTCAGTCATTGTCAGAATTGTATATTTATGTTCAACAAAATACAGAGTTGGATTTCTAGTTCAATAATTGTAGGACTGATCTGAAATTTTAATGAAAGCTGATGTGTTTGCTAATTGAATATCTTGTACTTGTTTACTTGCACCTGTTTAGAGATTCCATTTCCATTGCTGCATCTGACTTTTTGAAAATTTTATTGCAGTCAAGTATAAACGTAAATAAACTACTTTTTGCTCTTCTATTTCCCCCTTTTTCCCTCTCCAAAATACCTTTCAGCCTTGCCCTTCCAGACGAAAAACATAAAACCTACAGTACCTCAGTCAATCTACGGAGATTTTATCTTGGCTGAGAGGAAAACCATTACCATTCTGAAAATTAGATTGAACTCCTTATTCCAGTAATAAGTTCATGCTACCTGAACTACAAAAGACTAATTCTTAACCAAAGTTTCACACTTCCACTGTGCGACTGGTTTTACTAAAATCTACTACAGATAGTATTCACACAGAAAAAAATCAAACAAAAAACCCAACCAAACAGAAAGCAACCCAGTAATTCGTCTTTAATTTAATACTATGAATGAAGAAGAATGTGTAACTCGTATAAAGACAAAAGCAAATGTCATAAGAATGAAGATAAAAAAAATCAGAGCACTGTTGTTTTCCTGAATGCAATAGGAATTAAAGCCTATCTCTAAAGAGATATTAACATACGATAGAAACTCCATTCTTTTCCTTTAATCCTTTGATGTACTGCCCTAAAAAAAAAAACTACTCAACCACAGATGCTGTAAGCAATGTGTATTTCAGCATACTTAATTGTTTATCAGAGCAGAGCTTTACTGTCAGGCACTATCAGTATTGAACCAAAGACCCTCCGCTTTGCTGGCAAATATGTAACTCTTTAGGCATTAAGCACAACTCCAGCACCTGCTTTTCTTTTCTTAATTATTCTGCTCTTAACAGAAAAAAAAAAATCACATCCATTTATATGAAAAAGAAAAATCCAACAATATATCAAAAATACAATTATGGCAAGTGCTTCCCAATGTTTTCAGAACTCTTATAAGAGTAGGAAGACAGACACAGTCTAATGCTAAGACTAAAATAGACATGTGGTTGGTTTTCCCTGCAGATTTTGGAACTATATAAACAGTTCCCCTGGCTATTGCAACAACATTCCCAAGATCAGCTAACCTAAACAGAGCTAGCATTCTAGTTGCATTTTGAAATTAAAAAGTGTTGAAAAAAATCCACAACAAAAATGATGGTTTCAGGGTGGAAAACTACTGCACCAGCTACCACAGAAGAGAAAGATAAGCTGAACCCAGGCGCCCAGGAATAATCCCGAGGAGTGTCCTACAGAAAAAATACCTGATCAAAGATAGAATACTTAAATTCTAAGAAGTCAGGGTTCCAAAACTTTTGCTTGGAAACTCTGAATGAAATTTGGGTTTTATAATAAACATGAAGAGTAGCATTTGCCATCAGTTGTTATATTGAAATAATTGTATTTCCTACATATTACTTGCTCTTCTTTTACACAGATGCAATCATTATCATTTGATCAGTAGGAGAACTTAATCATAGAATAGTTAGAATCGTAGAATAGTTAGGGCTGGAAAGGACCCCAAGATCATCCAGTTCCTGGGCAGGGACACCTCATGCTAAACCATATCACCCAAGGCCTCGTCCAACCTGGTCTTGAGCACTGCCAAGGATGGAGCATTCACAACCTCCCTGGGCAACCCATTCCAGTGCCTCACCACCCTAACAGGAAAGAATTTCCTCCTTATATCCAATCTAAACTTCCCCTGTTTAAGTTTTAACCCATTACCCCTTGTCCTATCACTACAGTCCCTAATGAAAAGTCCCTCTCCAGCATCCCTATAGGCCCCTTTCAGATACTGGAAGGCTGCTACGAGGTCTCCACACAGCCTTCTCTTCTCCAGGCTGAACAGCTCCAACTTCCTCAGCCTGTCTTCATAGGGGAGGTGCTCCAGTCCCCTGATCATCCTCATGGCCCTTCTCTGGACTTGTTCCAACAGTTCCATGTCCTTTTTATGTTGAGGACAACAGAACTGCACACAATACTCCAGGTGAGGTCTCACAAGAGCAGAGTAGAGTAGAGGAGCAGGATCACCTCCTTTGACCTGCTGGTCATGCTCCTTTTGATGCAGCAAAGGATACACTTGGCTTTCTGGGCTGCAAGCGCACACTGCCGGCTCATGTTCATTTTCTCATCAACCAACACCACCAAGTCCTTTTCCACAGGGCTGCTCTGAATCTCTTCTTTGCCCAACCTGTAGCTGTGCCTGGGATTGCTCTGACCCAGGTGTAGGACCTTGCACTTGGCATGGTTAAACTTCATGAGGCTGGCATCAGCCCACCTCACAAGCATGTCAAGGTCCCTCTGCATGGCATTCCTTCCCTCCAGCATATCAACTGAACCACACAGCTTGGTGTCATCGGCAAACTTGCTGAGGGCGCACTCAATCCCACTGTCCATGTCAGCGACGAAGATGTTGAACAAGACTGGTCCCAACACCGATCTCTGAGGGACACCACTCGTTACTGGTCTCCGGCTCGACATTGAGCCATTGACCACAACTCTTTGTGTGCGGCCATCCAGCCAGTTCTTTATCCACCGAGTGGTCCACCCATCAAATTGATGTCGCTCCAATTTAGAGACAAGGTTGTCGTGTGGGACAGTGTCAAATGCTTTACACAAGTCCAGGTAGATGACATCAACTGCTCTACCCCTGTCCATGAGTTCCGTAGCCCCATCATAGAAGGCCACCAAATTGGTCAGGCAGGATTTCCCCTTAGTGAAGCCATGCTGACTGTCACCAAGCACCTTGTTGATTTTCATGTGCCTTATCATGCCATCCAGGAGAATCTGCTCCAAGATTCTGCCAGGCACAGAGGTGAGACTGACTGGTCTGTAATTCCAAGGGTCATGCATTTTCCCCTTTTTGAAAATCATAAGTGATGTAACTTCCTTAGGATCACATATTGAGCCAGTGCTGTGACCAAATCAGAAGGTCTGTGACTACATGACTGTCTATGATAGAACAGCACAGATGAGATGCTGTAGCCAGGAAGGCCAAACTCTGGCTCTTGAGCTGCTTCTCAATTAGCCATTCTTGTAATGCAGGGTGGGATTTGTTGTCTACCAACTGGATTGAATTTCCTGAAAAGCTCCTCATAATTCCAGTCCCTGGCTGTAGGAAGGAGCTGAAGCCCATCCCCGCAACCAGCAGTGGCTGTGTTGATCCTACTCTTCCCACAGAGGACTGGCACTGCAGCAGGGAAGCCATTTCTGTACACTGCAGAGGAATCTTTAGTACTTCTCCCTTTATTTGTGTCACCACAATACTAGCACTATCATCGAGAGAACTGGAGATAAGTCACATGTGTGAGGCAAGCTAGCAAAATTCAGATTTTTTTAGTCAGCCACCTTGTGTTCAGCTAGGTGCCAGTAGCTATGTAGAACCAGACAACAAGAGGTGAAATTACTTCCTGGAGTACAAATTTAGCTGTTGTGCTGCTGTAAGATTTTTGCGATATATTACACTCCAATGCTAATGTCCAATATTTGAATTCACTAGTGTATTTATTTCAAAGAAGTTTTACAATTAGAATTATAAAGCCTAATGAAATATGAAATGAAAGAGCCACAAGATCTTCAAAAGTTATTGATGTACTGCACTGATAATACTAAACTGCTGACATATACTCTTCCTTTGCCATTTATTTTGATGATTTTTAGCATAAAAAAAGATATTCAACTTTTATTAAGCCATCTGATCCTTATTCCTCACATGAAATGAAAATTCTTTAATTAAGACACCATCATCATCTGCAGATGGATTATTTGGACTAGAGGTCAGCAGCACCAAGCAGAGGATTGAAAGGTTTAAGTGTCACGAGCCTGCAAGTAAGTGACAGAAGAGGAGTAAAATTTCATAATTAAAAATGTCTGCAAAACAAGGAAACAACTTTATCTTAAGCACTTATCTGTGAGGAAAGGTATGTTAGTTTGGTGGATGGTAAAACTTAATAAAGCTCCAGGTGTGGTCCACTATTTGATAATGACCCTAAAGTCCCTTGTCACCTTAGTCTACACTCAAAAGCTCTTAAGAATTTAGCTGAAAGTTTCTTATTCAAGACTAATAAGCGTTTTATATTTATTTAAATTTTATTTCTCACTCTGGCCAGAGTCCAGATTACAGATACAAAATTGCCAAGACACCACTTAAAGGTAATGAAAATAAAATCTTTTAGAAGCTCAGGCAGAACGTGATAGAGCCAGTAGTAGCCAGCATCTCCCCCACCTAAATACTAATAAATTAACTGAGAAATAAGAAAGTAAAACAAAATATCAATCTATTTTGTTTACTACTGGCTTGCAGCTACAAAGTAATTCATATAGTGTGTTCAGATGTTGCCTGATAAAGAAAATTGAGTTGGTCCTCTGTAAATCCCACTGCTCTGACTCCATCCCAAAGCTGCAGAAAGGCACAAAGTCCAGCACCAATTGTACCTATAGGCAGGCCACTTCCCTGGGAAGGGGCAATTTTCTCAGGTAGCTGTCATGAATACAGTGCCTGTGAGATGGGTCCAGAGTAACCTTCTGCAGCCTCTTAAGATAATGGCAGGCTGAAGGAAAACATTCAAATGTTATGTTTTCCCTTTTCTGGGTTATCATCTACAGTCATTGATGTGAGAGGCACAGACCACTGTTAAGATTATATATACTTTAGGAAAGCTGACTGGTCAATATGTTACATCTTCAGTCAGTGCTCCCAAATCAATGGATTCAGTGGTACTGGGCATTCTTCAGGATTAATCACCACCAGTGCAATAAGGTGCTTGATCTTCAAATGCAATCTGAATGCCATTTTAATTACAAGAATGAGCTTGCAATCTTGAGGATATACTCAGAACTATACAGAAGAAGGAGCACAGTACAAAACACAGCTATGTCTCGATTTGCAAAGCACGTTACTGTAAACGGAAAGCACAGCAGGGGTGGGAAGGATCAGAAAACACCCTATTGTAAAGTCAGCACCATTACAGAGTAGAGCCAAAGCCATATTCTCCTTCCCCCCTCCCCCCCCTTCCCGAAAAAATGTGTTACTGTGCTGATGCACAAACAGATGTGGGATACTTTCCCCAGATGCGCTTCTCAGTGAAACTGGGTTGGGAACTCCTCCTTCCCCCACGGCTCTTGCTGGGAGGGACAAGGACAGTGTCTCCTTTCCCACCCCATGCACAATGAGGGACAGGTTATTAAGATCAAACCATCAGAGTGCACGTGCTTTCTCAACTCTGTTTCAGTTTTAGTGTTAAATCTGAATGAATATTCCTTCTTTGTCAAGATGTGGTGAATATCTGCAGTCACCCCCAAGTGAACTTCCTGCCCCCACCTTCTAGCATCATAGCTACATTCTATTTCCTTCATCCTAGTAGTTTGATGACACCAGTAAAATAGACTAACACATTTGATTCCTTACAATGCTCTAAACAATATTCAGATCATCTGGAGTTACATGTGCTTTAAAAATAGCTACTGATCAACTTTAGATTGGATATAAGGAAGAAGTTCTTTACTGTTAGGGTGATGAGGCACTTTAATGCATTGCCCAGGGAGGTTGTAAATGCTTCATCCCTGGCAGGGTTCAAGGTCAGGTTGGATGAAGCCTTGGTTGACACGGTTTAGTGTGAGGTGTCCGTGCCCATGGCAGGGAGGGTGGAACTAGATGATCTTAAGGTCATTTCCAGCCCTAACTGTTCTATGAGTCTATGATTCTAACTACAACTCAGTAAAATCGGATTATAAATCCGAAAGTCTCCAAAACCAGTACCTTTTAGATTGTCTTAGAGAACACCCTGAATCGCAGATAACTGTACTAAATATAACCCAAAAGAGGTTAACAATGTTTCATGCTTTTGTTAACTTTAAAGATGAGTTACTCAGTATTCTAGACTTTTCCATCAAACATTATACCTCCAAGACTCCTAGAATCAACATCAGATAATCTGTCAGTTTTCAAGAACTGGATTATTGGTGTGAAGGGCAAGATCCTTTTTCAGGGCTTGGGTTCTCTCTCAGTCAACAAGAGTATGATGCAAACACTTAGGTATACGGGATTCTCAAAAACATACACCCCTTTCCCTCTTTTCTCCTCTCCTGAACTGACTCCTCTTCTGTAACATTTTAACTGCACAGGTGGCTCTTTGAAATGCTATTACAAAAAGCAACATGAAATTGTGTAGAAATTCTATCTTGCAAGCTTTTTATTGGTAATGGGAATGAATGAAATGCAACTTTTTAAAAGATATCCTAAAAATAGATGCCCCACCTTACTCTAAAATTGCTGAATAACATCAAGTGTTGCACTCCGAAAGGTATTCAGTCACCTGCAAATTCACACCAAGTCTCTCAGCAAGCAGTACCTGAGAAAATTAGCATCTGAAAGTAACTGCTATTTTCTTTATAATTTCACAAGGCTACAAAATGAGCTGATAATGTATAAGTGGTTTCTATTCTCACACGTTAACGCTCAACTTTATGTTTCTTCGTGAGGATATAAAACACATTAAAGCAAGCAACAAAGCACCAGTGTATATTGTCAGGAATCTGCCAGCCATTCTGCATTTTCCTATGAGATGCTGCTTCCAGTTTGGTTCCTCTGAGCCCTTTTTTTTGTTTTCTCTGAAGGGTCTTTTTAATGCAATTTTTTGCAAGTAAAAAAAAAAAAAAAGCCCTTATAACACACCTATTTTAATCTCTTTGATGTGCTGTAATCCAATATGCATGTAACCTGGGGCTGCTTTCAAAAAAGATCTGCAAATGATAAGAGCCATGTAATTCAGCATGACAGAATTTTCAGAATGCATTTGCAAGGCTAGTTACTAGAAGTGCAGAAACTGTTCTTTCATCTAGGTATTGATAGGATGGATCAAGCTGGTTAGACATAGATTGAGTAATTCTACTTTAGTGGATCAACAGCTTCACTGTAGCTGCCTTTAATTTTTCATAGTCCCGTTTGTGAGTGCTTAAAAAGGAAAGCAGTAGTCATACCATAAATTCACATATTTCTATGCGCAGGCATGCGTATGTCTACATAATGTATGGCTACTAAAAATCCCCTCAGAGCAAGACATGTCCAGAAGTCTGTGAATGGCGACAACAAGTGTTGCTTTTATAAAAAAGGAACTATTTAAAAGAGTACCCAGGGTATTAGCTGTCAACAAGAAGGGTATTAAAACAGTATCACTCTCCTCAGGTTGTTTCATTCTTGGTAACTTATAGACTACTTTGCCACTGCAGGAACTGCCAGCTTCAGTGTTACATTAGCCTCACCAAAAGAGCCAAAGAGCTGCTGTTTAAGCACTTAGAAAAGTGATAGTCTCTCACCCAAGAAGTGAAGAAACAACTAAGTAAAAACTACGTGAGACTGAAATCTGTACAAAGAGGCAGACTGATGGGAAGTGCAGGAATTGCCTCATCTCGGGAGAATCTCGAGGGGGTTTCAAAATCTGTAACTGGTTTCTAAACCATGGGTCATACCAATCACACTTGGGACTGTGATATTTCACATAATAAAATGGGGGATATTTCTAGATAAGATTTCCGGCAACATCAGAAAGGAATCATTTTGTCCCTGCACTGAAACACAGAAGGAATCTTCCACGCCCTGCGCTAGCAGCAGTGTACAGCTGGCTACTGGGCTATTTTGTTGTTCACACCAAACATGAAGCATCAGTCAAAAGTTTGGGACAAAGCATCTGCAGTAATAAACAGGGTGGCTTGGAAGACAATTCTGAAATTGTGCAAGAAGTTGCTCTGCTAGGAGGAAGCATGCAATCGATCAGGCTGGGATTGATGCTGAGGCTGGCTGAGGGACCAGCAGTGCTGGGATATTGGCTGGTATGCTTTGGCAAGGCAGAGGGACCTGCTATGGACAGACCTGCCTGATGGTCATCTTGTGAAGCCTGTGCAAAGCAGGCAGTCCATTGCTCCCCACAGGCTGCCAGCAAGATGCTTGCCCTACTGGCCTGAGCTAGCCACTGTACTCAGCAGAAGTTACATCTCAGGACAGGCAGAGGTGTTCCTGATTTTGGTAGAGGGATGAAGGAAGAACATATCTGGACAAGTTCTGTTTGGGTGAACTTTAGCCAAAGCAGCAGCTGTTAGAGAAGGACTGATACCATGGTGCTTTAGAGGCAAGGGCAGGCAGCTTAGCCTTCCCCTCAGCTCCCCTGTGTTGAAATCATCCAACCCTGTGCCTCTAGTTGCTGCTCTTCTGTAAAGTGCCATGTTTTCCAAGCACAGACTTGAGTGCTAGGCAGTTGAAAGAGGTGAGAAAACATGTCACAGCTGCCAAGCCAGAGAGAGGCAGAGTGCAAAGGACACATTACAGGATTAAGTCGCTCTTCCTTTAGGAACAAAGGGAGTAGAAGCAGAGAGAATAAC